ACACACACACACACACACACCTGTCAGGGTGCTTTTACATGGTGCTGCTAACAGAATGTACATGAGGAGTCAGTAAGTTGTAACTGAACAGGTGCTCAGCTTTTCATGGCTCCACATTGGCAATTGCCGTGGCCGGAGGCACTGTGATTTTTGGGTTGTCCGACTGCACGTACAGCCCATTCATCCAGGCTCCAAGGCGAGATCTTGGCGTGTGTTGATTTGTCTGGTCAAAACTCCAAACCCTAAAGGTGTTCAGGTTTTTAACATATACAACAAAGAAAAGCAGCAGATGCTGCCACGGTGAAGCTGTTACCAGAGAATATGACGCTCGTTTTTTATGGATTTTGCTTGAAAAATGATGAATTGATTATCGGAGCAATGACTGTTTATTTTTCTGTCATTCAACTTTATTCAGTTGTCTAATTGTATTAAGAGGTTACAGCCACAGCAGTACAACAGTAAGACTCAGTGTAAGAGAAGAAATGGACTTTACTGGCCACTGAAATCATTCCTTAACTTTCTGCAGATCCGTTTGAATTCTTCATGTTCAATTTTGCGTACTGTCTCATCACACCAAAGGTGAGTTTGCCAAAGTGCTGCCTGTCCTGGTCCTTGACGTCATCACTGTGCTGAGTCGGGGGCAGTTCAGCACATAACAGAGCTTTTAAGCTTTACACAGAAAACTATGAACTGGTATGACCTGCTGTTACAGATGATATCTCACAGGGAGAACTAAGCTGTACTCTGTTTTCAGAGCTACCCCCAGGGCCAACAAGGGAGCTGCACAGACAGTGCGTACTTTGTGCTGGTGGACACTTACCTGAAGTACTTCCTCCCCATTGAAGGAAGTGTGCCCCCTTCTCCTTTCTCTGACTCCAGAGGCTCTGTGTCTGCACCTTCACCAAGGTTTTTATAGAAAGTCTTTATTAAATCTCTTAGAGTATATCTGCCTGGAGATTTTAGCCAGAAGATGCAGAGGTTGCAACAAACAAACCATGTTATGAAGGAAATCCCAAATTAAACTTTGGAATATTTGAGCCAACAGATCAACTAAATGTTTGAAACTCCATCCCCCCTCCTGCTTTAAACTCCACAGGTCTTCCAGTGTTTCGTTTGCTGGTTATGGCGTTCACAGCCCGAGTCTCCTGAAACATCACATATTCCACCAGCCCTCTGTGAACGCAGACCCTGCAGCCCAGGAAATCTGGAGGTCTGAAACACTGCTGCAGGTGAGGCACTGATCAGCTGTGGCTTCCTGTGCTCCCTGCAGGTCAAATGGGTTAGAAGTGAGTTTTATGGCTGAGAGCTTCAGCGTGTCCTCAGTCTGAAAGATTCTCACAATGTTTGTTTTCATGGGCATTTACTTAAGTACAATGTTGTCATCTCTCCTTGAGTATTTATTTTCTACTTCATATTTGAACTTCACTACATTTAAGAGAAAACATTTGTACTTCTTACTCACCACATGTATGTGATAACTGTAGTTACTAGTTACTTTCCAGAATGAGATGAATAAAATAAAATGCAGTATTATCATAAGACTTAATTGATCCCTGGCACGAGCTACCCAGAAGTATGTAAAGTACTTCAAGCGCCACCTTTACCAGCTGCAACATTAAATGTGATGTACTCAATAATACATCAATAATTATAGGCCAGTAATATGATGTACATTCTCATGTAATGTGTTGTTCTGCAGAATGAGTACTTTTAGTACTTTAAGTAGTTTTGGTCCTTAACGTTTTGAATGCAGGACTTGTAACAGAGTATTTTTATATTGTGGTATTGCTACTTTTGCTTAAGCAAACAATTGGAGTACTTATACACCACTTTGTTTTACAAACATCTGGTCCTTAGAAACTGTAATGAAGTCATCTGGGTTTGTTTTGATGACCAGTTAATTTGCTGCTTAATATCACAATGATTGGGAAATGAGCGTCTTTACTGTTATTGTGAAGGGGAGGTTTACAAATAGTTCTCAGGATGGTCCAAAACCCAAATACGCTCATGTTACTGTAACAAAGAAAAGGAGCAGCAGTGTTCAGAGAGGGTGGAAACACCAGACTTAAAGACATGCAGGTTGTCTTGTTGTGAGGGTGTGATAATCAAGCCCACACTTATTCCTTCTCCTAAGATGTTTGTGGAGATCTGGCTCCATCACTACTCCTTGGAGATGTACCAGAAGCTGCAGTCTCCCCAGGTAAAGGTAAGAGAATCTGCCCCCACACATCCCTTCTACCCCACTGTCCCCTGCTCCGCACGACTGGCTGCTGACTGGTTGACCACAGTCCTCCCTCACCTCTCCACTGTCCCAGTCCCATTTTGGAGCAAGCCCAGGGTGGGGAAAGGTGCTGCCAGCAGCCCTGTGGTTGGTCATTTATAGTTCACTAATTCAGACACCTGGGTACCTGGACCACTGCTGTGTCCACGTCCTACTGTAGAACAAAGTGTCCAGCTGCTGTGGCTGAATCACCCTGAGCAGGCTAGCGTGACGTTGTCCACTGGCCTGGTTAAAATCACAGGCTTCGTGTCTTTGCTCAGCTCAGAGACGAAGTATTGTTTATCACTAATGAAGCCTCACTCACAACTGTGTGTGTTCAAACATCAAGCAGGTGCCTTTTCACAGAGCAGCATATTGTTACAGTAACAGCTGATTTACCATCGATGGGCACAGTGGTTCAGAACATCAGCTGTTGCTGGATCCTTTGCACGGACAAACCAGGAGACCTGACTCGGCTAACTGAAGAGCAGCGTGTCCAGTGTTCCTTGAGCTGTGAATGTGCATCAGGCATCCCTGTTCCCCACTTTGAAAGCATCTGATTCCCTTGTTTATATCTAAGATGGGTTTCTAGTCCTTTGCTGAGTACACAAGTAGTTACAGAGTAAAGCTGCTGCCATAAGGGATGTGGCACAAGTTCCCTGTAGTACTGCTTTTGCTTCCTCTCCCATCCTCCGCATGATGCATGTCCATGTCACCATGTGTTTGTTTTGTTGTTGAACTAGCAGTTATTTTCTCTGGTCTATAAAATGTCAAACGGTGAAAAGAGCGCAGTCTTCTGGAGCACAGATCTGGATTTGTTGGAGTAATAGTACAAAAGCCAAGAATCTTAAGTTTATTATAAAGTAGGAGAACAAAGAACAGCAAATCCTCACATTTGAGAAACTAGAACTGTCAGTTATTTGGCATTTTTGCTTGAAAAACGATTCATTAGTTTTCTAAATAATTGATTATCTGTGAATCAACTCACAGTGGCAGCTCTAAAGATTTGTTGCTCAGTATCAGAGTAAAGCCCGTCAGTCACAGAGCGCCGCCGCTGCTCCATAAGGCTGCACAGAGACGGTGACACAGCAGCTGCTGACAAGTCTGATTCTTACTCACCACTTTAAAACATGTTTATCACTGTGTTTATTTACCGTGTTGTGTCCTGTGTTCATTCTTTCAAGAGTGGACTTGAAACGGCAAGATTTTGGACAAGTGCCTTTAATAAGCTAAAGTCTTAATTCAGATGTCTGAGTGTACACCACCAGTCAGAAGGTTTAGATCACCTCCATGTTTTCAGTAGCTGTCAGTGTGATCCATCAGGTTAACACACCTGTGTCAGTCTTTCTACAACTCAAATCAAACACTGCTGGGACAGACAGCAGATGTTCCCACAGATGTGTTGCACTTGCCGTTGCTTTCACAAGTTCACGCTGTACAGCGACATCTAGTGGTCACAGCTCGTCAAAGCAACTTGATTAGGCCCTGATCCTATCGGTAGATTGACGGCAGGAGGCTGCTGCTTTCCCTCATCCTCACCTTCATCAGGGGTGAGCAGGTTATGTAAATTACACAAGGGAATAAAGAGAATTCTGATAAGAATAGCTCCGATTGTCTTTGTTGTGATCAGTAATGATA